TAAGCATGATTTGTGAGGAGGCCCCTAAATGTTATTAATTGTCACGGTAATTACTGGGCTAATGATTATATAACTGCCCTATCATTAGCAAACAGTGTGCTATTATCAGCCGTTGAAAATATTTCCATTGCCGATGCCAGGAGTACTATCAGTAGCAAATCTTCCTTTTTCACCCCTCCCTTGTCTTACAGCAATAAGATATTATTTACTACTCTAATCTTTTTAGGGAAATACGACTACATTTGAAAATTTCAACAAGTTTGATCTCCTGAATGGGGAAGAGCCTGAAGAAGAACGTTTGACTTATGCGAATGTATTAAAATCTCGTTCTCACTCTTCTTCACAGAAGTTAAAAAACAACATCCAGAGGGATGAATTACTTCGTCGTGCATATCGTCCAAAGGTAACCCAATCTGCCAGGACTCAATACAAATCAGAAGTCCATCGCAACAACTTAAATGAAGTTGACGGTAGAACACCTCCCACATCTGGCAATAAAGTGACTTTCCAAAACGATCCACCTTCTCATGCGGACTTCCGTGGGACAGATATCGACAATAACATTGGCGTCACTTCCGCAGGAGAATACTGCTCCTATCCCAAAATTAGGCATTCTTCCTGCCTTACTGGCATCCTCGCTACTAAGATACAAATGTTCAAACACGCAAAAAACCACTTTTAACTAGGATTCTAACAAACAATTAAAAATATTTCAGTGGAATTCTCTAGGAATTCGGCATAATCTCCCTTCATTACTTGCTGCAGCAAAGAATTACGACATTTTTTGTATACAAGAGACTCTTCTTAAGCATAATGCCTTTAAAATTAGAGGTTTTAAAATAATTAGAAAGGACATCGTTCAGACAGAAGATAGAAGTGTTTGTATTCTCATTCGGGACATATAAACTAAGAGGTTCTCGATTTTAAAGATACAGTCTATCCATCCGCAAAGTTTCTAGTAATTAAATTTTTTACTCTAATACAGAATCTGTGGTTGTGGTCAATACTTATAGACATCCCGATCAAAAAACTCTCGTCACTTTCTATAATTCTTTAATGAATTGCGTGACTACAAAAACTTCATTATTTTAGGCGACTTCAATGCTCATCACACAGCTTGGGAAGGCAAGCAACAATCAACAGCGGGGAGGAAGCTCCTTCAGATGATAAACGAATATGATTCTCATCATTCTCAATGAGAAAACATCCACTTTCCTGCGATCCTCTTCACGGCCTCAGTTATCGACTTGGCTTTGGCGTCTCCGCAGTTGGCACCGCTTTGTAATGCTTCCGTAGAATCCGACACATTCGGGAATGACCATTTCCCTATAGTTACTACTATAGGCGTACGGGGTACCTTAAGATATAGAGTTACCTTAAGATTCAAATTTTCCTATAAATTATCTCTATCTAAGGAAGAGTACCAAATCCTATTTCATAAATTGCTTTTTCTGTTAAAAATTTACCACCGATGGACAGGAAAGATGTACTAGATTGTTACGATGCATTCACGCAAGTTATTATTGAGTCTGCCACAAGTTTTATTCCGGAAAGCGGAATAGCTTTCCACGTACATCACCAAAAGCTCGAACCTCTCCCCTGGTGAAACGAATCCTGTTCGAATGCTGTGTAGAACAGAAAAAAGGCTATTAAGGACTTTCATATCTAATCCTACCAATGAGAATCATATCGAATTCCAAAAGACTCACATTGCTTGTTTTAAAAAGCTTTCCGAACAAAAACGTGAAGGCGCAAATTAGTGAACAGTTTTAATGATAAGACTCCCACTAAACAAATTTGGTCACTAATTAAAAGCTTTAAAAGGAATATAACTTGCAACAATGGAACAACGCAAGACCTTCGGGATGCCTCATTGGACAATATTATTTCTAAAATATGCCCCCCATTTTCTTACTGTGATCGCTCTAAAACTCTTGAAACAATGAAATCTGAAGACAATCAGAGTTCGTGCATCTGCACCTGATGATCCTCTTACTTTCGAAGAACTTAAAAACGCGCTCAAATCAGTTCGTAAGAATTCTGCCCCTGGCTTGGATCAAATTAGTTACAAAATGTTAGAACAAATCCCTACCGAATTTGAGACTTATCTCTTATCCATATTCAATAAAATTTTCTCTGAGGGTATCTTCCCACATTCCTGGAAAAGCTTCCTGATGGCGCTTATTCTTAAGCCGAGTTCTAAAGCGGTCAGATCCATTTCGCTTATGTCATGCGTATGCAAGTCATGCTCATGGAGCGTATCTTTAACCAGCTCAGTCTTTGATATGAGCTGGTTGTTGAATGCAGGCCCATTCTACCACAATCACAATCGGGTTTTAGGCCTTTTAGAGCCTGTGATGGCTTGGCCACTCTAGTCACTTCGGTGAGAACTGATTTTTTGAATCAATCTCCTGCGGTTGCTGTTTTTCTGGATAGCAGACGCATTTGACAATGTGGCTTCACACATTTTATTGGAAGATTTAAGAGAGATTGACATTCCTGTTCTTTCTAGAAAATTCATTGAAAATCTTATCAATGTTAAATACTTTAATTTTGTCATAGATAGTGAGCTGCACGGACTATATGACGCCTATAAGAGTACACCTCAAGGATCTAAAGTAAGTCTGTTCTTATTTGACATCAGGGACTTTAGACAGCATTTGCATCAAGACACCCGATTCCTTCAATGTGCAGATGATGTAATCCTATTTTCCACACATCGGGACATAAATAAAGCCATCAGATCCATTCAGCACTGTTTAGATCAAATATACGGTCATCTAAAATTCAGAAATCTGGAAGTGTCGCTTCAAAAATCTAATTGGGTTATTTTCGCACAAGGTAACACAATAAAGATTCCGAAGAGCAGCATCAATGGGAGCATAATTCCTAGAATACACTTGCACCGTTTCTTGGGCGTTATTCTAGACTATATTGACGGTAAGCTACATTTGAGATATCTTATTAGTAAAGAAAGAAAAATCTCTGCCATCGCATCAACACTATCAAGTGTCACATGGAGTTAGCATCCTGAGCTTCTCCTCACCGTCTACAGAGCCGTCTACGTTTCGTAGTGCTGTAGAATATGGATGTCAATTCTTTACCTGGAAACCTACGGCTCCCGATTTCATCAAGTTACAGCGATTACAATACAAAGTAATCAGGAAGGCAATGGGATATCGTATCTCAAACTCAATAAATGTCATGCTCACTGAAGCAAGGAATTTAATTTAAACATTAGATTCAATCTCATTGCCTCCAAGTTTATATATTAAGCTGCAGTCGGAGCTGCAGTCTTTCACCTGAAATGGAGGATGACATTAAACACAGATTTCCTTCATCTTCTCGGCTGAGTTGTGGACTATCTACTAGGCCATACAGATTATTAACGATCTTGACCTTTCCAGAAGCGTTATTTTCTCTGACTCAGAGTGCGCTTGAAGCGTTTCAAAATCTTCAAAAGTACAGCGTGACTATATAGTATATTATATTAAACGAGCCTATCTGGACATTTTAAAAAGGGTAGAGAAATTACATTTTTCTGGGTTCCCGCACACTCAAGAATACCTGGTAACGAATCGGCTGATCAAGCCGCAAAGCTAGCCGCATTGGAAGCCCAATTTTCGAGTCCCTTATGAGAATTATAGTAGTATCATCTATTTAGGCAAATAAACAAAGCGTAGAATACATGAAAGAAGTCTCTATCACTAAGGGTACTCTGTACTTCGAACATTTCTACACAAGTTCCACGAAGACATGGTTTCATAAGACTATCTTAACGAGGGAACAGATCGTCCTTATCAACCGACTCAGATCCAACCATGTTGCCCCTGCGGAGAATCTCGTCAAATGGTTCATCAATCATATAATCTTTCATTATGAAAAGTTCTACAAATTCTACTCCAATCCGAAACCATATTACAAAAGAATTTCCAAACTCCCCTCAAGATCTTCTTCCTGCCTTATATTTTTCTCCCGCCAAGCTGTGTCGTCTACTTTTGGCCTTCATCAAGGCCAATAATCTTTTCTTTTGATCTTCCTTTGCTCCTCTCCCTCTCTCCCATGACGCGCTATCTACCGCTGAGTGGCAGCAGGCGTCCGGATTCTGAGGAGGAGGCAGCCATATCGATTTGTAGCTGATGCTTTCTTTAAACCTAACCGCAATAAACCTTATTTACCGCAGACCTCAGTGGCTTAGTACCAACCTTTGGGTTGCCTAGCCAGCATCTAAGAGAAAGAAGAAGATCTCAATTCCATCTCACCGCTCACGTTTAAGTGAGCCTAACTTCGAGTTAAACAATTCATTGGTAAAGAAAGGCGATTAAATGATTGTAAAAAGGAACGACGGCAGTATATAGTTGTAAAAAGAAAGGAATATAAGTCATTCCTTTCAAATTTCGAATTTCGATTGATCGATTCCCTTATGTACTATGCATTATGCGCAAGTCTGCAGCCATAACACACCGACTCCCCTTGCTTTTCGCATGGATGGTTTAGTGATACTCGGTGTGACTCTCTCGACGTTTCTGAACGATCTCACACTAGTGCACATCGAGTACACACGAATATTTCCGGCTGGTGTGTATTAGTGGCACACCAGTAAGTGTTTTCGAATGTAGCTTAAGGCTAATTCTACAATGTGCTCTTTGTTTCCTGTTTCTTACTGTTTGTCTTTGTTTGTCTCTTGCCTTTTTGGTCAATAAGACAAGAAACACGGCACATTGTAGAATTAGCCTAAGAGCTAATGGCGAAAATACCACAGTGCAGACGATATTTATCTCTCGCTTAGATAATGTACTTGAAACCTTCAATACGCATGCGCACATTCCTAACCAATCTTATTCGCATGTATAGAAGTGAGAGATCCTATATTGAGTACTTTCCATTTGATGATACATAAATCAACATAAGTATCGTTTTATCTTTGTCATTTTCTGAATGTCAAGAAGGATAGAACAACGCTTATATCGACTCATATCATTAAATGGAAAGCACCCATTCTTCTATTTCGCTGTCTTCGCACACCTCCCCACTCCTAAAAAGAGGCTGCGTTAACAATATAGCAGAATATTATATATATGGGCCACATGAATCATCACATCTAGAATGGACCGCTGATGGCAGTGGTGGAGGTAAAAAAACGAGTAGAATGAGAGGCAAATAATAGGAAGATCGTTTTTCCTCTGTTTACTGAAGTCTGATTGGTTGTTGTTAATCCAACAGTAGTGTATGCTATGACAAAAGATTCTGACTAAAAGCGAGTACGCTGTTGCTTGCGTAAAAGAAATGTTAATGAAATATTAATAAAATTTAATAAAATAACAAATTATTGTATTTTTTTGCAAAACGTCAGTAACCTCTGCATCCAGTTTTCACAAGTAAGTATATTTCATGGTGTTAATGGTCAACCCATCTAGTGACAAAAAACCGCGGATACTTTTTAGATGACCCAATATAATACCACATATTTATACCATCGATATATTAAAAAGGTTAACCTATCGATGTCGATGAGTTAACTACAATATAAACCATGTATAATATTAATATATATTATTGCTATGTATAAGACGATTTTATTTATTATAGTATTTACTGAATACTCATACATACACACATACAATAGTCAGTTTAATATTTATAAACTAGATGCTGTTTCTTTTTCTTCATAGTGCGATTGTTGTTTAAGCAAATTCAGCAAATTACAAATAAATATATGTAAAATAAAAGAGAAAGAGAGAGAGAGAGGGGAAAGGAGGGAGAAGGATAGATAATTAATGAGATGTTAATTAATATTCTAATTTATAGGTTCCCAAAAAATAAAGATAGAAGAAACAAATGGTTACAAGCAATCAATATGAATCAAGTTTCACAATATGCTCGGCTGTGCTCCAACCATTTTAAATCATCAGATTATCAAGAAACATTACGTGGACTAAAAGGGAGACTTAAAAACACTGCTATTCCTTTTTTTAAATTACTTCACACGAAATCAATTGTGATAACATAGCATCATCTAGTGACGAAGAATTTCATATTGAAATACAACAGATATTTGGAGAATGACTACATAACACAGTAATCAAGTAATTTTCAATATAAAAATATACCTATGGTATTTTCAGAATACATATAAGAAACAATCCGGTGAAATTAAAATAGAAGAATGCAGTGTGGAATGTAATGATGCTACAAAAGATAATTCTAACTCATTGAAAAGGTTTAACAGTATATTTTTTACTAATATAGTATTATCTCCATAATACTTATATTAATGTATTCTTTTTCTAGAAAATCAATGGAAGATGAAAAAATAGACTTTCCTTTGAAACATATTAAACATATGAAGGATAATGTATGATATTAAGTATCTAGAAATTCGGACGAAGCGACAATGATATTAGACGTTGCATTAGAAACAATTGCAGAACAGGTAAAGAAAATACAACATTTGCAAGTGCAGGCATGTAAACTAAAAAAACCGAGAGTTTGATTGAGTTAAATAAACATTTACATGACAATAATTTCATTTCTAAAGAAACTTTAGAACGTATGAACGTAAGTGTTTCTTAAAATGCGTATGATATGATTATGCTATACAGGGGATGCATCACTATAAGTCATAATTTAATAATAATATATCCAGTAAATTACTAGCAAATTATCGTCAAGCACAAACGCTTTGTTTGATGTCAAAGATTTTGTTTTTGATCAAGATTTTTTTATGATATAATTGTTGTAAATATGTCATATAGAGTTTTAATTTCATGTATTATTTCTTTTATTTGTTCTCGCCTTTAACACTTATAGAATTATAATTATTATTACAAATAGGTATACAACTTTAACTCGCAAAAGGAAATCACATTACAAATTGTATATATTTAAAATGTTACAGTTCGCTGCTCCAGTTGTCAAATTTATTATCCAAAAACTCCTATCTAAACCTCATACGTTTCCCTCTAAAATTACAGACCTTTGCAGTGAGTTTACACTTTTATTTTCCAAAAGCATACGAGTATGTACGAGAAACATTTTTAAAGATTTTACCTCATGAAGGTACGATTCGTTCCTAATATTGGGTCATCTAAAAACCGCAAATACTTTTTAGATGACCCAATATATCAATGTGGATGGTAACCCTGGAATATGTAAACCTACGTTACAATTTTTTAAAAAAAGATAGAAATTGCGCGCGAAAAAAATGAAGGAATCCTGTGTTCCTTAATTATGGATGATATAACAATTTTTAAAAAAATTGAATGGTATATAAATGATTATGTAGGATATATTATTTATGGGAAACACATGAATGATATTGATTTATTTAAAGCTTTCCTAACAGCTTCCAGTGTTATTGTACTTATGTATATTGTAGGTGTCAATGGTCACTGAAAGCTTCCAATTGCGTATTATTTTATTGAGTCATCTAAAAAGTATCCGCGGTTTTTTGTCACTAGATGTGTGTTGATGGTCATATATCTAGTGACAAAGTACCGCGGATACTTTTTAGACCCAATATAAACTCATTGAATAGCACGAAACGAGCAAATATAGTAAATGATACATTAATATCTCTACATGAAACTGGTTTTAGTCACTTCTGTAAGAAATCGATAATAAACACACTCCGCGACTAATCGATTATAATCACACTCCGCGACTGATGCGCTACTGCACCATTTTGCGCAGTGCTATTCGGCGCCACTTTCAAAACTTGGGACCATCTCGAAACACTCGTTACTGCATTCTTATAACGACAAATGTTTATTAAAAAGTGTAATAACGCGGTTGACTTTTGTCCTAGAGACTTTTGTCCACATTGAAATGAGAAAATCATTGTATTGATTGACTAAATTATTTATTAAATAAAAACCAGTTTATCCGATAAAACCTTTGTCTATCAAATTGATTAAAACAAGAAATAGGCTGGTAATTGCCTTCCGAAGAAGATTCTTTTGAAAATAATTATCAAATCCGAGGATCTTTCACTTCCATCACCTTCGATGGACCGCGAAATCACTTCGCAATTACACAGGTGCGAAATTAAGCATTGACGACGATTTGTAAGTTTATTTTTTACATCCGATTTCAAAAGAAAAAATTTTTATACTTTTGGATCCGTGCCATATATTAAAACTGATACGCAACTCGTTTGGAAAACTGCAAGTCATCGTTGACGGAGATGGTAACATTATAAAATGGTCTTTTCTGGAGAAATTGGTACAATTTCCAGAACAACATGGTTTGCATGCTGCAACTAAAATTAGCAGATGGCATTTGAATTGGCAGAATGAAAAAATGAAAGTTTTTCTGGCAGCTCAAATGCTTAGCAACAGTGTTGCAAAAACATTAGCATATTTACGTGACGACTTGCAGTTATTAGATTTTAAAAATAGTAAGGGAAAAATTTTGTCTCATGATAAAGCATTCGATATATTGAATTCGCGCAATAAATTTAATACTGATCCACAGAAAATGTTTATTTCAGACTGTAATGTTCATGACATTCAAAGCAAAATCGCGAATATTGTAACATTCATAAAATCATTGACTGTTAAGGCTCCTGACTACTTACTCAGCCAAGAACTCTGCGTTGACGGTGGTGACACAGAATTAGACAGCGGTCTGGCGAAATCACACACTTAAGCACGAGCCCATGTCCGTGTGCTCGCCTGTGGCGCGCCGAGAGTGAACGAGACAGCGAGCTCCTTCTCCTACTAGTAGCTTGTTTCAAGCATCCAAGAATGCTCGGCAATCGACCGCTCGGCGGCCCAAGGCATCAATAAAGGGCGGGGAGCATTTTGAATAACATATAAGTTTTAATAAATTGTAGTAATAATGTATTCCTCCAATTAATCCAGAATAATATAAATCATGTTAAAACGCAACAGTTTACGAGATATTTAATTGTTTACGATTTGCCATGCGCGTTATAGTATACCTCTTCTTCATAAACTCGAGTAGCAAGAATAATTCAGTAGAAGTAGAATTTTACCGAAAAAAAATTATAATCAGCATTTCTCTTCACGAAAGTCTCGAAAGGCCATCAGAAAAGAAATGCGTATGTTCGAGACTCGAGACTTGTGAAGAAAGTATGCGAAAAAAATCGGATAGTTGCAAAAAACACGTTTTTCGCTTATAAAACGAAAGATATTGATTGTATGGAAAAAAATTCGGTATAAAAAAATGTAGATATTCGAAATACGTACAAAATAAGTCATGGAATATTAAAATCGATCTATTAGTTCAGTAGAAAAAAAATTAAAAAACATCAAAAAAGGTCTTTTTTTCGTTCGCTCTGTGTTCATTGTGCTCATCTCGCGTTCGCGAGATACAGATTACTAAAGCCATCTATTAGAAAAATAATGAATTTCTTTTTACTACATCTAATATTTTATTAAAACGCATTTTCACTTTCAAGTATTTTGAAATGTTTCTCGTACATTTTAGCATTTAATTACACCTACTTCCTCATTTTTCTTAAATTTGAACATATTATCACATAAATATATGTATATTTGAATGTATTGTTTGCTATTTAACATTTTATTTGATTATATATATTTTAAGTTATGCAAATTTAAACAATAGCATGGCATTTTGCTAATGTGGTCCTTTATGCGTATTAATTACTAACGGCTTCTTTTTTGAGATTTTTAATTCAAAATAATTATTCCTTGAACTATTGTAGTTCTAATATTAATCTATAACTTACATTACTATAGATTTTTATAGGCTGCCAAGCTGCTTATATATACAGAGTATTTGGAAAATAATAATAAATCTTTCGCATAAGGGCAGATTGGACTAAACTGAGAAGAAAAGTACTCTAACATTTTGCAATTTTCATAATAGTTAACAAAATATTAATTGCTAAAAATTTACGAAAATTGATCTTCAATAATTTTTACTCAAGTATTATCAATTTTACAGAAAAACTACAAAAAACAAAAATTATTTATTTTCTTCTCATAAAACTTTACGAATTTTTTCAGAATTTTTTATCAATTTTTAGTATTACATTTTCTCAATTTTCCAATATAAGAAAATACGGTATTAAAAAATTCTGAAAAAATTCTTAAAAAATTCTTAAAGCTCTATGAAAAGAAAATTAACAATTGCCTCTTGCAGTTTTTCTATAAAGTAAACTTCTGTAAACAACATTTTAATAAATGTAATTGTCAAGTTTTAAACTTAAATATTCATTATTAGTCAGTTATCGTGTAAAATGTAACTAGAATATCATCCTCTCTTCTACTAAATAGTATTAAAAACACATTTAAAAAAAATAACGTTTTAAACATTTGTTTTAAATTGTTTAAAAAAAACATGTTTAATTTAATCTAATGTTTAAAACATGTTTTAAACATTTGTTTAAAAAAAAAAGTTTTAAACAAAATAACCCTGGAGGGAAGCCGATGCGCAGTCGAATGGAGAAGATTGATTCGCTCGGCGATTCGCGCATATTTGATTTTGTGTTAAAATTTGCTAAATTTATATTTTTTCAGCAATAAATTGATGGAAACTTGATATTTTTTTAATCTAGACTAGCTTAACGAGATATAAACAAATAACTTAACCAAATGTTTCGCAAAGTAATTGTAATCATGAAATTTTTAGTTTTTTGTTTCTTGAATTTTTATTTTTTCGGTTTATTACTAAAAAATTACTAATTAAGTATGGAGTGCATATTTGATTAACAAATTTAAGTCACATTAGCTATATTTCTTCATTTAATATGTCATAAAAAGTTTTTAATTGGACAATTAAATGTACGGAATTATCAGTACAAAATTATTTTTATGAATTTAATTGCAGATGCAAATATGACATATGTAAACAAATAATAAATAATTTGCCAAATGTTAGTATAACTGTTGAATATAATTACAAAATATGTAACACTAATTTACTTTTATATTTGCAAAAGTTAGTGTTCGCCGAGTGACCGAGATTGCCGAGAAAGCATTTTTGCTTGAAACAAGTTACTAGTGGGAGAAGGAACTCATTGTCTCGTTCACTCTCGGCGCGCCACAGGCGAGCACACGGATATGGGCTCGTGCTTGTGTGAATAAATGACTCAATTAAGTCAAATTCTCAAGATGCTTGTTGTGTGATGTGATATAAGAGGTAATGATCGACACTTTTCTTGTAACTGGTAACGATGAATCTTTATTACTCGAACTCAAATGAATATGACCGTATAGGATGAGCGCCATTATCTATCCTCTTATTTGTTCTCTGACGTTGCTTGTAGGTAACTCGCAACCTACAAAATCCCTAGGCTTTCTACACTCGCTGTGCTAGTGAGATATTGAGAACGTAGTTCTCGCTTGCACATTTAATTAGTTACGCTGCTTGTTTATAGTAAAAAATAGTAATATATATATATAGGGTCATCTAAAAAGTATCCGCGGTTTTTTGTCACTAGATGTGTGTTGATGATCATATATCTAGTGACAAAGTACCGCGGATACTTTTTAGATGACCCAATATATAAAATTATAAAAATAATAAAGCT